TAAAAAAAAAATCACACCAGGTTTATGTACGTGCATGCCCAAAATCTCAAGAGAAGAATGGAGGAGAAGGGTTATCTTGGAGGAGTGTGGTTATCTTCCATGAGGGATGATTTTTCACTTTCCCTTTCTCTCTTCTCTGTCTCTTTCCAACTAGTGCAAACACCTTAGGGGGAAAAGAAAAAAAAAAAAAGAAAGAAAAACAAACTAAAGAAAAGATAATGGTGGAGTTGTTAGCTGTGCTCAGGCCATACAGTGGGGCTGAAGACAGAGTCAGTGGCCCAGAAAGAGTGCTAAATTTTTGCTGCATCTGCTTGCCCAAAATTCTGAGAGGTGAATGGAGAAAAGGGATTATGGCGTGGCCATCTCCTTCAAGGGTGCTTCCCCACTTCCTCTTTCTCTCTCTCTCGCTCTCTCCATCACTCTCCAGCCCTATTAAAAAAAAAAAAAAGGTACAGATGGAAATTCTGCGCTTATTGAGCACATCCAGGTACAAAGTACCCAAGGTGTGCTCCATACTCGGAGCTCACTCTTGCATTAACCTGTACATGATGGAGCTGCACCTTATTGTAAAGAACAAACTGTTTCTAAACCAGAAAAGGAGGTTGCACAGAAAAGAAAAAAAAAAAAAACTGTATCCCAGAAAGAAAAAAATGTGGGACCAGCAGTTGGCGTAATGGCTATGTCGTTGTACTCCCACGTAATCAACCATGGTTCGAGTCCCAGACCCAGTGGCTTAAACTCAGGCCAGGAGCGTGTTTATGCATGCCCAAGATCCTGAGAGGAGAATGGAGGAGAAGAGCGTGGCCATCCCCCCGGGGAGTGATTTCTCACTTTCTGTCTTTCTGGTGAGCACACACTCCCTATAATGTATTACCTCAGAATAAATTCAGCTAAGTGCAAATAAAAGCAAAAAAAAAAGTTGTTTTGTCTGAGACAAAACAATTGAGTCCCAGACCTGGCAGCTTAAAACTCACCCTGGGTGCATGTGCGTGTGTGCCCAAAATCCTGGAAAGAGAATACAAGAGAAGGGATTGCAGTGTGGCCATTCTCACTTTCCATTTCTCTGTCTCTCCAGCAAGCGCATATGCCCTATAGAAAAATCTCTCTCAAAAATAAATAAATAAACAAGAAAAAGTTGTTTAGTACATATATGTTTATTCATGTAGAAGATTACCATAAAATATCTAAGCTCGTGAGACATGCTGTCTTGTCCATTTTCCGCTGCTATATCTGAATACCTCAGACTGAGGAGTTTATAAGAGAAGTTTGAACCTGCCCAGGGCTTGGTGGTTGAGGGAGCCAGATTCCTCATGGCCAGTCCCAGCCTAGTGGCTTGAAAAACAAGTTGCATATGTATGTGTATGCCCCAAATTCCTTTAGGATGGAGAAATGGAGGGAATTGTGGTGTGCCCACGTCCCACTGAGAGGTATTCGTTCTCACTCTCCACCCTCTCTCTCTCTCAAGTGTGTGCACCCTCTGGCAATGAAATATATATATACAGGGGCCAACTGGTGTCACGGTGGTTACGGTGACTGGATCCCATGTGGCCGAGTCCCAGACCCAGCAGCTTGAAAAGCACCAGGTACTTGTGCATGAGTGCCCCAAATCAAAATCCCAAGAGGAGAATGGAAAAGAAGGGATTGCAACGTGGCCATCCCCCGTAGGGGGCGTGCCTTCTCACTTTCCCTCTTTTGCTCTCTTTCTCTAGTGAGCCCACACATCCTATACCAAGCTTGCTTGTTTGTTTGTTTCTTGACTATTTTTTCTTAGAGATTTTTGCTATATAGCATGTGTGATCACTGGAGAGACAGAGAGTCAGAAAGCAAGAAATTATCCCCCAGGGAGGATGGCCACACCGCAAACCCTTCTCCTCCCATTCTCCTTCAAGGATTTCGGGCACACATGCACATGCACCAGCATAAGTTTCAAGCCACTGGCTCTGGGACTTGAACCGCAGTTGGCCACATGGGAGTCCAGTGCCTTAATGGCCACATCACCTGCTGGACCCTAGCAAGCTTTAATATATATGCTTTTATTGGGATTTTCATATTCTGTCAACCCATGTCACTTCTCCGACTCCTAGACAATCTTATCACTAACCTCCTTCATTCCCCAAAACAACTCTTCCATGTTTCTGAATAATACAGATACACGTGGGGCGTGAGGAGGCACAGACTAGAGCAGGGACATGCAGGGCCAGGCCAAGTGAAGGCAATGGGGAGGAAACGTAACAGGGATTCTGGGGCTTTTCTTTTGCAAAGAATCAAATGCATGTTTCTGGCTTTGTTGTCCCTTTTTGCATCTTTTGGTTCTGTCCAATCCAATAAACTGAGAACATGATGATATGGTCTAGCTCTATAGCACTGAGCAGAGGACTGACTTAGTCTGCTTCAGGGTAAACCCAGAGAGGGGGCCTCTAGGCCCATCTCACCTTCAAGTACTTTGAAGATGTCCCTGCCAGGTCCACGTGGAGCCCAGCACTGTTCAACATGGTAATTAATGAATTGGCATTCAAAGTAACCTTGGCAAATTAAAGCCATGAATACAAACAGACTGATTTATAGCATAGCTGTTACCTTGGGGGCACATGGGAGATTTCTGGAAACCTCTGTGTCTTGACCTGGGAGCTTATTAAATGAATCTAATCATTTGTGAAATATTTATCAGTTTGCATACATAAGATATGTTCATTTTAGCTCTCTGGGTTCGGACCTAGTTGGCAGCCATCTGGCTAAACGCACCAAGAAGGTCGGCATCGTCAGTAAACACAGGACTTGCTATGGTATCTCCCTCTGGAAAATGGTGAAGAAAATTGAAGTCAGTCACCACGCCAAGTACACCTGCTCCTTCGGTGGCAAAACTAAGATGAAGAGACGGGCTGTGGGGTCTGGCACTGTGGTTCCCGCACGAACACGGTAGA